GAACCTGAAGCCCAGAGCCCTACCGGAAGATTCCACAGTGGTGATGTGATGTCAGCCGAGCCTTAATTTTAGTCCGGAGTTTCCTTTTGTCCTTCGTAGTTCTGTCTGTTTAGCACTCCACATTTTGTCAGAGGGCTTTCTGAGACAAATAGGGCAGGTGTTGCCAGTGAAGCTGCGCTCCCTTTCACAGATGTGTGCTTGCCCTTCACAGGCTGTACCTGACTTCGTGAGTCTTTGCCCCTAATTTTCTTGTGGCAGCTTCCTGCCATTTTTTAAATTTCAGGTTCTTATAAAACTTAATATGATGGAAGCTGCTGTGCTTTTTGTATATCGATTTCCACATAGTGTCAAACCAATACTTGTTGGTGCCTGGAGGAAATATGCATTGCAAAGGAGGAAAAAGTAGTTGATGTTTCTGGAAACTTCAAGACAATTGAAATGAATGTGTGAACTGCATATTTACTTACTTGTTTTTGGTGGTACTGAAGTTTGGCTTGCTAGGCAAGCCCTCTGTCACTTGAACAACATCTCCAGCCCATGAACTGCATTTTTAACCAAGGCACATGTTTTTGGTGTGTTCATAGTTATTTATTCTAACATTTATAAAGTAATAGGTGCTTAGTGGTTGAGAATTTGGATTAGAATAAAAACAAAGATAATTACCTAGATGTAATCATTGTTAATATTTTGACATATGTCCTATTGTGTGTGTGTGTTTTGACAAACAGTATTTCTGGACATGTTAAATTTGAGATGCCTGTTAGACATACATGTAGTAACTTGAGCATGTGAGTATGAAGCTTGAGAGGTCAGGATTAAGCCAAATATAAACGTGTGTCTAGCTTGTCTCCTTGGTGGCTCCATATGAGTTCATGTAGGGCGCATGTGCAGACTGAGAAGAGGCAATACCTGAGGACTTAGCCCTGGGCTCTCCAGCATGTGTGAAGGTTTGGAAGAGGAGGAGGATCCACCAAAGAAAATGGATAAGTGGTTGCCAGTGAGGTAGGTGGGAAATCAGAGAATTGTGATATCCTGGAAGCCAAATGAAGAAAAGGTTTCAGGAAGGAAATGAGCAAGCAGGTTGTTGAATATTTCTGAGAGGCTATGTGAGAAGAGGATAGAAAACTTGCCATTTGGTGAAGTGGTTTCCATGGATTAGAGGGGGAGGGGCCTGATTTTAATATACTTACAGGAAATAGAGAAGTAAGTGGCAAGGGTATAAGTATAAATTGTTCTTTTGGGGATTTCTATAAAGAGGAGCAGAGAATTGTAGGTAAAGAGGGATGGGGTGGGGGTCAAGAAATTTTGGGAGAAGAACCATTATGGTGTGTTTTTGATGGAGATTCTTTATCTTTATTCTCATTTTCTTTCTCTCTCTCATTGAGACTTTGCAGAAGCTTGTCAATTTCATTGGTTTTTCTGAAAGAATCAGGTCTTGATTTAATTTATCTGTTCCACTAAAAGCAAAAGCAAATTTTATTATGTGAGTGGTTTTCTTGGTTGATGTTCAGTAGAGTTCATCAGATTTTGAAAAATAGTCTCTCTAGTGGTTTGGAAGTTCAGCTCATTTCTCTAGAGGATACCCTTAAATTTTAACTGATTTGAATTGATATCTCTGTCAATATTACGTGTTAAGCAATATGTTGAACATTACATCAAACAAGAAGAAACTTACTTCTGCCTTTCTCCTAGTTTTTTCAAAATCTAAGATTTCAGTTCAAGATTGACTTTTTCTTTTCAAATTCCTTTTACATTTGCAGAATATTTAAAAAGTTGCATTAATTTTCACTACCAAGTTACCAACAATTTAGATTTGACTAAGTTTACTACTTTTCTGTTTACAATTTAAACATCTTTTAAGTTTGTGTTTTTAGTCAGATTAATACAGTATATTCTTGATTTTAAAGGTATAGAGAGCAACCACTTCTGTACTCCATCAGACTCTTAATTCTGCTTCAGAGATATATGCAGTGTTTATTCCTGTCTGATATTTATTTATTTATTTTTTTGTGTTTACCACCATCTCTCTAAGATGTTTATGCCTCAGTTTATTTATCAACCCAAGGCTTCTCATGTTGAGTTCCTGCTTCCAGGGATGGCGATTTTATTTACTTTTACTGTCCCTTCACCGGAATTTATAATCATATTAATATTTTTTCTCTGCTCTTGATCACCTCTCCAACTTAAAGTTTTTATTGTATACATATTTTTTACTATTACAAGGCAGTGTCTTTTGACACCACATATTATAAGTAGAGACATTGATTTTCTTTCTGATTCTATTTCTCAACCTGTCAGTTTGTTTTTATTTTGTCAGTGTTGATAGTGTTTACATTCCATTCTGTAACTGTAATTTAGTCTTCCATTAGTTTTGTCTGAAAACTAGTTAGCAGTGTTTATACCTGTATCAGGACTGGGCACAAGCTGAGTAGTGTGTTAAGCACGTCTTTCCCTGAAGTTTCAGTGGCACCTGCGCCATCCATTAAACATTTCTAGCATTAGATTCAAATAAGGGCTTAATGATAATTGTGTAGTCATGTGCTAGGTGCTTCCTAAGAATGTTATGTATAGTATTTCATTTGATGCTTGTGAGAAAAATTATCCTAGTTTGCCAGAAAAAAAAAAGATAAAGAATTGAAGAAAGGAAGGAAGGGAGGAAAGGATGGAGGGAAAGAAAGGTGGGGGGTGAGGGAGAAAGATAAGTAAGTCAAAGAGAGATAAGTTGCTCAGCTGGCAGGGGAGTCACCTAGTGATAAAGTGCCACTGTCCCTAGAGCAGCTGTTATGAATGTGAGGTTCTGATAGTCTCTAAGTCCTTACCTGTCTTCCCTGTTAACACCGCTGGGACTCTCATCTTCAGCCCCTGATTGTGGGGTCTTAGTGATGTAGGAATGCCTTGGAGCAGGCTGACAGACTTTGGGAAGGTCACTCTCTTGGGGACTTTTTAGGGATTTTCAGTCTCCCCTTCCTCAGTCTTCTTAGTTTCTTGTGAGAGCTTTAGGTTACTGGAAGGGATAGTGACTGCTAAACCTGCCTCTCTGCCCGTTAGTTGTCCATCTTCGAAAACCTATAGTTGCAAATTGCATTAAACATGTAGATTATTTTTGGGAATATAGACATTTTTACTATGTTGATTATACCAATCCATGAGCATGGAAGATCTCTCCACTTTCTAACACAAGAGGCCACGAATAGCCAAGGCAATACTCAGTCAAAAGAACAAGGCTGGAGGTATCACAATACCTGACTTCAAACTATATTACAAAGCAATAACAATAAAAACAGCATGGTACTGGCACAAAAACAGACACGAAGACCAGTGGAACAGAATAGAGGACCCAGATATGAAGCCACACAACTATAACCAACTTGTCTTTGACAAAGGTGCTAAAAATATACAATGGAGAAAAGACAGTCTCTTCAACAAAAACTGCTGGGAAAACTGGTTAGCATTCTGCAAAAAACTGAAACTAGATCCATGTATAACACCCTATACCAAGATTAACTCAAAATGGATCAAGGATCTTAATATCAGACCACAAACTCTAAAGTTGATACAGGAAAGAGTAGGAAATACTCTGGAATTAGAAGGTATAGGTAAGAACTTTCTCAATGGAACCCCAGCAGCACAGCAACTAAGAGATAACATAGATAAATGGGACTTCATAAAATTAAAAAGCTTCTGCTCAACAAAAGAAATGGTCTCTAAACTGAAGAGAACACCCACAGAGTGGAAGAAAATATTTGCCAGCTACACATCAGACAAAGGACTGATAACCAGAATATATAGGGAACTTAAAAAACTAAATTCTCCCAAAACTAATGAACCAATAAAGAAATGGGCAAGTGAACTAAACAGAACTTTCTCAAAAGAAGAAATTCAAATGACCAAAAAACACATGAAAAAATGCTCACCATCTCTAGCAATAAAGGAAATGCAAATAAAAACCACGCTAAGATTCCATCTCACCCCTGTTAGAATAGCCATCATTAGCAACACCACCAACAACAGGTGTTGGTGAGGATTCGGGGAAAAAGGAACTCTCTTACACTGCTGGTGGGAATGTAAACTAGTACAACCACTCTGGAAAAAAATTTGGAGGCTACTTAAAAAGCCAAACATTGATCTACCATTTGATCCAGCAATACCACTCTTGGGGATATACCCAAAAGACTGTAACACAGGTTACTCCAGAGGCACCTGCACACCCATGTTTATTGCAGCACTATTCACAATAGCCAAGTTATGGAAACAGCCAAGATGCCCCACCACTGACGAATGGATTAAGAAAATGTGGTATCTATACACAATGGAATTTTATGCAGCCATGAAGAAGAACGAAATGTTATCATTCTCTGGTAAATGGATGGAATTGGAGAACATCATTCTGAGTGAGGTTAGCCTGGCCCAAAAGACCAAAAATCATATGTTCTCCCTCATATGCGAACATTAGATCAAGGGCAAACACAACAAGGGGATTGGACTTTGAGCACATGATAAAAGCGAGAGCACACAAGGGAGGGGTGAGGATAGGTAAGACACCTAGAAAATTAGCTAGCATTTGTTGCCTTTAATGCAGAGAAACTAAAGCAGATACCTTAAAAGCAACTGAGGCCAATAGGAGAAGGGGACCAGGAACTAGAGAAAAGGTTAGATCAAAAAGAATTAACCTAGAAGGTAACACACACGCACAGGAAATCAATGTGAGTCAACTCCCTGTATAGCTATCCTTATTTCAACTAGCAAAAACCCTTGTTCCTTCCTATTATTGCTTATATTCTCTCTTCAACAAAATTAGAGATAAGGACAAAATAGTTTTTTCCGGGTATCGAGGGGGTGGGGGGAGAGGGAGGGGGTGGAGTGGATGGTAAGGGATGGGGTAGGGGAAGGGGGGAGAAATGACCCAAGCATTGTATGCACATATGAATAATAAAAAATTAAAAAAATAAAAAATAAAAAAAATCTGACAATGCATAATATTATTAAACACACACACACACACACACACAAACCTATAGTTGGTGAACGACCAACCACTTCCAAGAGAGTGAGGCAGGGACCCCACTTTTACCACTTCACTATACAGTCCTCACAGTGAGGGAAGAAGGTGAAGTGAGGCATAAGGATGGCAAAGAAGTAAAACCACATGACTGTATGCATAGAAAATCTTAAGGAATTTACAAAGCAACTGTTAGAACTAGTGAGTGAAATAAAGTTGCAGAATTCATAGTTAATATTTGAAAAATACAATTCTGTGTTTATATTAAATAGCAAAAAGCTAGAAAATGAAGTTTAAAAACTCAAGTCTATTTACAGTACTACAAAAAACAAAATACTTAGGAATAAATTTAACAAGAGATACTCAGATCTTTACTCTAAAACATCAAAATAATGCTGAGAGAAATTAAAGAAGACCTACATGAACGGGAAAGGATGCAATCTTCATGTGCTGTTGGCTCTCCCGAAAGTGATGCACAGTTTAATTGCAACCTAGTCAGCATTCTGCTAGCTCTTCTACACTCAACAAGAATAAAAAAAAAAAAAGCCTAGAGGAATTAAACAGGCATTTCACAAAAGAAGATATAAAAATGGCAAATAAGCAGATATAAAGATACTCAATATCCTTAGTAATCAGGAAGTGCAAGTTAAATCCACAGTGAAATACCAGTGTACTTTATTAGGATAGCTAAGAGTAAAAAGATGACAAAGCTAAGGGTTAACAACCATGCACAGCAGCTACCACTGTCATGCACTGCTGTGGCAATATCAACTGATACAGTCACTCTTGAAAACTATTCGTCAATTTCTAAAAATCTGCAGTACACTTACTGTATCCCTCAGCTCTTGCACTTCTTACATTTACCCAAGGAAAATGAAATATATGTCCATGAAGATGCTCACTGAAGCTGTATTATAATAACTCTAAACTGAGAACAGCGCAGTTGTTCATCTTTATTACAAGTTCATCATCGTTAAGGAGACAAATAAGTAGTAACATAACTGTAATGAAATGTTACTCAGAAATAAAAGGAAGAAATGTCCGATATGTACAACATGAATAAATATTGAAATCATTCAGCTGAGTGAAAGAAACCAGAAATGAGTACATAGTGTGATTTCATTTATATAAAAATAAAAGAAAATGCACATTAGTCACATAAGAGAATCATTGGTTACCTGGAGCCAGGGGCACAGGGGAAGAAGAGACCTTAAAGGGACATGTGGGATTTGGTAAATGATGGAAACTTACACCTTGATTGTGATGGTGGTGGTGGTTTCCTGTGCATGTACAACTGTCAAAACTTCTTGAATTGTGTACTTTTAAACCCATGCAGTTCTCTGTAAATCATACCCCAGTGTTGATAAAAAGTTACTGAAATGCACGATGGAAAATATGTATGCAGTAAATAAGCTTTATTGGTATGGACCAGATGTAGTTGCAAGTTCCTATTTTCATAATAGAGATTTAACAGTTCTTTTAAGAGCTAAGTAGTTGCCAAGTGTGTTAAGCAAATAAAAGATTTCATTGTTTATTGAATTTTTTGTAGTAAGAAGGTGTAGCAGTGGAGTCCTTTAGTCTGTTTTGGTTCTGGAGCTTAGACTTCCTATGTTTTTTCTCTTCTTTGTTCCTGAATTCTCTTCCAAGCTTTTTTAAACTTATGGCCCAGAAGTATCAAAATTGAATTTGTTGATTTAGGATGTAAAAAGCCTTTTGTTTTGGATGTCTGAGAAGGTGAGTCTGTAAAGAACTTCTTCAGACTTCTATAACAGCTCAAACTCCTCCCCTCTCAGCTTAACCTTTAAACTTTCAAATATGGAATTATATCCAGTAAATAGAGCAAAAGGCCCATGGCTTAGCTATGTAGTTCTTAATATGTGAAAAAGAAATGGAAAACACCCCAGCTTTGCCTGCATGGCACCTCAATAGTGGTACAATAATCACAAGCTGCAAAAATTATAGTGATTTTTGTGGTATTGTTATATATCATTTTAATCTGAGTTACCAGGCCATTTTCCCATCTACTGTTGTAAAAGTCTCTAAAAAACAAATGTCATTTTTGGTGTTGTATAAGCAACATCAAAGTACCTACTTCAGGAATTTTTTTTTTCCATTTCATTCAGCCTTTTAAAAATAAATTCATCAGTGTACCTTACCCAGTCATTATTGTTTTCTAAGAGAAATAAATTTAGAAAATGTGATGATCAGATATGGATGTTTAAAAAGTCATGGTATTTAAGCCTACAAAGTGAGAGAAAATAGCAAATCTTTATCACTGAGTTAATTCTTCCTTCTGATTTTTTTGTTGTTCTGACAGGTGAGCCAAGTCTTAGGGAAAATGCTTAGGAAAAATGCTGTCTTAAATTACTGTCCTGACTTAAACTCCCACAGAGTTTTTGACATTAAGGTTCTTTCAAAATCTGGAGTAATAAAAAGAAAATCGCCTTGAAAAGATACTGTCCATGGGCATTTCCACCTGAAATTTACCTTTTAAAAAAATTTTTAAAACCAAAGTACTAGAGGCATACACACATGATGCTGTTGATTCTTCACCGTCTTGCAAAATTGAAGATAAGGTTCACCTAATTTCAGAGGAGCACTCAAGTTCTGTGCATCTTGGATGTGTCGTAACAGGAACTGACTTAGGGAATTTGAAGCTTAGATGAGAACCAAGAAAGTTGTGCCTGAGCTGTAGATGACCCTGCTTTTAAGTTGAGTGAGCAGAAGTAACTGACAAGGGGGTGAAGGTGTTACTAGGTAGAGCAGTGAATTTCTACTGGAAAGGTAGAAATTCCAGTGCCACTAGAAAGGAGGGTAAGGCAGCTTCTGGAGGATTGACCAAGCTGCAGACCAGACCACTGCCTCTTTAGGCAAAGGCAATAACAGGGCCAGGTACGGTGGTACATGCCTGTAATTTCAGCCATGTGGGAGGAGATAGTGGTCCAAGACCCAGGTATAAAGTACGAGATACATTAAAAACAAACCAAAGCTAAAAGGTGTCGGGGGAGTGACTCAAGTGATAGAGTCCTGCGTTCAAACCTCAAAAACCCCATAACAAATGCCCTTATGCGCCACTGACACACTTAATTAACATAAGTATTTTGTAACTCATTTTTCTCATTAATTGAATAGTATGGTTAAATGAAACTTGACCAGAAAGTTTTTGTTTGAAGACTTACTGCAGATAAATACCTTTTGAAATGTCTGCGTTCCTGTGTAAATTGTTTATGGTAATCATGTTGTAGCTCTCATTTTGAGGCTTCATTCTCATTTTGATCATGTCTAGGTCATGTTCTTGAAGGTAGAGCTTGTGTCCTCCTGGCACCTAGAACGTAGAGTTGCACCGGCAGCCACTTGTAGAAGGGGCATTTGTCATTGTTCAGTGAAGATAAAATACGTTGCCTGGTAGTCTTGTTTTAAATGAGTACTTAGTGTTAGATGATTTATTGTTTCCTTCATCGTTGAGAATTAAAATGCAACATATTTTTGAGAGTAGGGGTAAATAAAACTTCGGCTCCTTTTTAGACCTGGAACTTTATAGTCATACAAAGTTACTATCTAAATTTCTGGTATATGAACTATGTAGATGTTCACTTAGATTTTTAAGCTTTCTTTTTTTTTAAAGTAAGTTATCTGTAAAGTTATTAAGATGTGATGAAACCACATCATTATGTTTTATTTATCATTTTGAAACTAAAAACACCACGTGGGAACTGCATTAAACTTAACTTTTGCATCATGAATAGAAGCAGAAATTATTTCCAAATTGAGGTGCAGGAAGCTTTAAAATGCCTGGTCATCCTTTATCAGCACTGCCGAATGAATCAGCAATTTGCTGAGGTCAGTAAACCTTTATTTTGAAATACAATAACCTTGTACAAATATCCAAGAATGTAGAAAAACTCAAGTGCAACAAAGAATCTAAACTTCATTAGTGCCAAGCCGCAGATGTGGAAGGCTGGGTTGCTGTATTTTAACTTTAAGGTCTGAGAAATGTTGGGAGGGTGTCTGATGGATGGATGTTGGAAGGAACTGGCTTATAGTTGCCCTTGCTCCTCTTCAGACAGTTGTCTTGCATGAAGTTTGGCCTTCATGGTTCTGTAAAAGCCATTCAAGAACTTTCTGCTTGCTTTCCTGTTTATATTGAATAGCTGCCTGGACTGTTTTCTAGAGGGTCTAGATGACTTGGGTTTTGGATTTGTGTTAAAAAGGCCAAGTCATTAATTCAGCAGCAACTACCTGTAACTGGGCCAGATACTGTTACATACTTGGGTTATGGTAGAGAACATACCAGACAAGGGTGTAACATTTAAACTCAGACCTAAAAGGTAAGGAGTTCAGCAGCTGAAGAGTAGAAGTCCAGGGTAAAGGCATAGTGAGATTGTCCAGCGTCATAGAGCTAGTGTGAGAGCTGAGAGTTGGACCCAGACGGTGCAAACCCTAAGCTGTTAGCCATTGGGGTGATAGTCCACACATTAGTGGCTCTTAAATCACTACTGGGTTTTTTTTTTTTTTTAATAGAGTATAAAATATCTGAGTGCTTTACATGTGGTAAGGATAAAAGTTGACATGTGAAAGTTTCATTTTTAAATTTGATACAAAGTATTAGTTCTTGTGTGAGCCAGTGAGTCATTACAAACAGCATGTGTGCAGGCAGAAGCTGATTGTGGCTTAGGTTAGAATTGTGGCATTGCAGATGGAGAGAAGTGGGCCTCAGTGGGATTTGGTATGAAATTGTCTATCTAAGCCTGGATGATGGAGATGTCAAGAATGAGCCCAGAGTTCTGGTGTGAGCAGCAACTGTCCTGAGGCACCCTGTACTCAGTCCACTTAAAGGGAACCTGGCCTTTAGAGGGGTACTCCTGATGGCCATTTGTTTTGCTGTCTGATTCACTTTCATCCCTCATCTGCAGCAGATAGGGCTTGGAGTGGCATCCTGCCCAAGGGCAGCAAATCTGTGTAAGTTGGCCATGAACGCATGAGGTGATCTGTTACTGAAAGCTGCCTGAACTGGGATGTGGAGCCACAAATGATTCTTTCTGGAGCTTGAGGGAGGTATTGAGCTAGGAGGTGGGGTATAGAGAAGCAGCTCTGGAGTGAAGGTACAGGAGTTGTTTTTCCTGGCGTTACCTCAGAATCTAAAGAATCTCTAGGTTTCAGTGTTCATGGGTCAGAGTTATCTCTTTGTTAAACTGAAGTCCAAGTCATTTGTTTCTGGTGTTCTGCGAGGCTCATTTCCTTATTCTCAAGCACAACCTTTTAGTAATGTCCAGCTCCCCATGTTAGCAGTGAGCTTCCAGACTGCATTTAGCAAATACGAGCTGGAAATAGAATAATGAAGTAGATGAAAGTGTTTGGTGTGAATTCCCCTTCTCTGTCTATAGTCTTTTGATGTTGGCCAAGGTGTTCATCAGTTTCCTCATCTGCAAAACTGAGAGAGAAGTTGGAAAGTGATTGTGAATAGGAGACAAGGTCATAAAAAGGAGTTGAACAGTGCTGAGACCCTCACACTGCACATCCTAAATTTATAGTGACACCAGTCTTGATGTTTTTCCAGCTTTTTCTGGCTATGCTGTGTTCAGCAGAATGACATGCTATTAACATAAAATTAGTATATACTTAAAGATTTTCAAGCCATATGTCAGGAAGGCATAAAGAAGCTGGGGATTTAGGTGCTTGGACATAGTAGGGCAAGTGGTTAGCTCCTGACTTTGGTCTGGGCAGGGAGTACCACTGAGCCTTGGAGAAAGAGGAGGGCAGTGGTTCCATGGTTCTACCTACAAAAGATAACATAATTTCTAGTAATGCCTCTCTCCTGTTCTTAACAGTAATTCCTTTTGTTGATTACTTAAAGATGAAGAACAATTGCAAAAATGGATTTACTAATCTTTTGTAAGAACACAACCCAAACGTTGGAGTTCATTTAATTTTGAAGTCACCAAAGTTTTCATGTATTTTGCTGGGATCCTTAATCTGAGGTAAAGTTTAACCACATAACGAGAGAGTTTATTTTCATTGACTTCTGAAGAGCTTAACAAATTCAGCTATTTTGAGGTCTTTAAAAATAAACACTAAGTAGAATAGAATTTATAGATGGACTTCATGTCTTTTCAATTAAAGCAGCCTGTGTCTGAGGCAAAATCTACCCCTGATCTGGAGCTGGTCTGACTGAACTTGATAGTTGTTACTTCTCCTTTCACTTTCATTTTGAGTACAGCAAATCTGAAAACAGTAACATTTTCTCCTTGCCTGACCATTTGAGGGCCTCCCACATTGTAGGCAGTGAACAAGGTGTCACTGCTTGAAACAGAAGAGTAGAAGTGAGTGATGACACCGTGAAGAGCTTCCCAACCTCAATCTGTGTGGTTGCCACAGTGGGGTACACACACCTGATGTGCTTAATACAGCACATGGGGGATTGGAAGAAAATTAGATCTTTTAACTTATTTTCAACTTCTCTGTGTTTTAGAACATATATCAGAGTAGTCAGACATGTCTGAAATATGTAGATCATCCATGTGTTGGGGATTTCCTTATTTTTTTTTCTTTTGCTAATATGGCAAATGTGATAAAAAATGTTTGGAAGCTACTCTATGTTTGTCTATATTTTTCACAGTAGACATTTTTGATAACTTTCCTTCTGTTTTAACATTTTTAGAAAACCCAGAGTTTTTATCTGTGATAAACTGTATTTTTTTAATATATTTATTCACATGTGCATACATTGTTTGGGCCATTTCTCCCCCCTGCTTTCCACCCTCTCCCTCTCCTTCCTCCACCTTTCCTCGCTTCCAGTCAGAACCTGTTCTGCCCTTATCTCTAATTTTGTTGAAGAGAAAGCATAAGCAATAGTAAGAAAGACAAAGCGTTTTTGCTAGTTGAGATAAGGACAGCTATACAGAGGGATTCCTAGCATTGGTTCCATGTATAAATGCGTTACAACCCAAGTTGATTCATCTCTACCTGACCTTTTCACTAGTTCCTGATCCCCTTCCCATATTGACCTCTGTCCCTTTAAGATTTCTGTATTAGATAAACTGTATTCTTGATGAGGTGGTTTTACTTGTTGCCTACCTTTTGTGGTATGGAGTTAGACCCACTATATAGAGAGATGATTACTCAGATGTGGCCTGACAAATGGGAGCCATTTTCTTCTGCCACTGGAGGAACTTTACCTTGTGTAGAACAGTGTTCCTTGATATAAAGCACTAAACCATTTGTCAGTTGTTAGGGAATAGGGCATGGAGAATTGGTGGGCCAACATATGCCTGGTCCACTGTTGAGTCTCATCCCAAAGTGTGACCTTCCCAACCCCTGCCACAGCCATTAACTGTCTTAAAGTGGCAGGTGCTTTAAGACATCCCAAAATTTCCTTGCCTGATTTGCTTGCTTATAGTAAGTGTTTTGGTTTTTTTTTTTTTTTAATTTAAATTTAATTTTAATTTTGGGTGGGGCTGGGGCTTGAACCCAGAGCTGCATGCTTACAAGGCAGGCTTCTACTGCTTGAGCAAGCCTCCAGCCCCCAAACCTAATTTAATTAGAGGTATATTGAGTAAATCTTCTAGGCTGTTTCTCTGCAGGCTTTTGTTTCAGTGGTGATAAGTATTTTAACTTTGTTATTTTAAAAACATTTTCAAGCAAGATTTTATTGAAATCAGATCTGCCACATGTCTTTGCAGGTTGGTGACAGGTAGAAGGATGCTTTCCACTTCACTTCCAAGCACCATTTGTTATGCAGAATGTCTGTGAGTGAGAACACAGTGTTTGCCTATGAGTCCTCGGTGCACAGCACCAACGTCTTGCTCAGCCTCAATGACCAGCGGAAGAAGGACGTGCTGTGCGACGTCACTGTCCTTGTGGAGGGCCAGCGATTCCGTGCCCATCGCTCGGTGCTGGCAGCATGCAGCAGCTACTTCCACTCGAGAATTGTAGGTCAGGCTGATGCCGAGCTGAGCATCAAGCTGCCAGAAGAGGTGAGCGGCCCATGGTTCTGGTGATTTGAATTTCATTTTACTTAAATAGGTTAGAGTTTATGAAGTTAAAAATCAAGCAGTTTCCTGGCCAGATGGCTGAGGATCATTTCTGTAGCAGTCTGTTTCTTTGGCTTTTTTCATAAAGATTATATTTATGTGTAAAATCATTACTTTTGGATGTTAATATTTGTTGAGCAGTGGGGTAACACCCACTGTTTTTGTTATTTTTGATAAAATGACTAAATCAGGGGCTACCATGTAGATTTTGGATATTTGGAAAGGTTGTGGGTTGGAGAGGCCATGCTCTCTGCCTTTCTCACCCTTTGAACCTTTTCCTGGGACTGGCAACTCTGACTAGGTGTAGCAATCTGTAAATCGCCCACTTTCCCAACACTATCCCCCCATGCAAAGCAGGTGCTCCTCATGAGTGTTCTCTGTCTCTCCTCTTCCTTCTTTCTTGAGATCCTCTTTATGTTTTAGTAAAAGAAAGAAGTGGTATGTGTCCTGCTCATAGAGCCCTATTTTACATCCATCTTTTTTCCCTATTTAGAGCTCAAGCTCTTAAATATGCGGGTCCTTGTGAGCCTGCTGACCACACAACACCTCTCTTTTGGAAGGGGGGGTGCTGGGTGCAGATACGTACTGCAGTGGGTTGCTTTATTTAGTTAGCATCTGCTGCTAGCAGAGTGTCTAGTCTGGGACATTGGGATACAAGTAGAAACAGTTGAGGGGAATGGGGAAAATAATGTGGAACTTCTTGTGTGTGACAGGTGCACGGGATGTTCCCTATTGGATATAGTTAGATAAACTGTAACCTAAGTCTAAGGTGCAGCTTTTTGCTGGCTTTGCATACTTGCATGAAATTGTAGCTACAGTTTTGGGACTGATAGTTTATCTATCTCTTCCATGGCAGAGGTCAGAGTGAAGGGTTGTAGTAGCAAGACAGACACACACACACACACACACACACACACACACACACAACACACACACACACACACACACACACACACACACACGCCGGCCCTAGACTAAGCCATTGATGTTGGAACAGCACAAATCATAATGGAGACATACTTACTATGGTTCATACTTTCAGATTATGTAATGACTTTTCATGTAGAGCAAAGTTAAATCCTTGGATTTGTAAGAAAGGTATATCTGTACATGTATGTGTGTTCTATACTCATTCCTTCCAATTTGAAGTATAAATCATAAGTTTTCAGATACATGAGTGTCTCCTGATAGTGACAAGATTGAAAACTTCATTGTATAAACTACTACTATCCTAAAAACCCTTTCAGGTTATTTTAACTTAATTTTACAAAATTTTAATTGAAATTATCACTGATATAATTGTAAATTCATGTAGTGCTGTAAAAAATAATATTCCCTTTCATACTGCCAATGTCCTCAGTGGTAACAGTTTGAAAAATTGTAATGTTACATGGTATTCAGAGTAGTGCAGCATTACTTGTACTAATTCTTCTGTGTATTAAGTTCTGTTCAATTTTGTGGCAGATAAAGGTTCTGGTATCTCCAGTTAACGTACGAACAGTTTCACCCCCCAGTGGTCCCTTGTGTTGCTCTTCAATAACCACACCTACTTCCTTGCAGCCTGTCTCCTTAGTCCTTTACCCTCTTCTTTATCCCTAATTGCTGGCAATCACTAATTTGTCCTCCTTTTCTAAAGTTCATCATTTTTGAAATGTTACATAAGTGGAATCATGTTGTATTTAACTTTTTAGGTTTGACTTTTTCCCACTTAGTATAATTCCCTGGAGATTATCCAAGTAGTGCATGTCAGTTCTTTTTATTGCTGAGTACTATTCCATAACATTGATGTACTTTTTTTTCTTTTTTGGGATACTCTGTTTTTTTCTTTATTTTGTCAGTTTTAAATTTACTTACATGAGTATATATTGTGTGGGCCATACCCCCACCCCCGACTTCTGGGCAGAACCTGTCCACCCTCTTCTCCTATTTTGTTGTAGAGAAAACCTAAGAGATAATAAGAAAGATAGCATTTTTGCTAGTTTGGGATAAATATAGCTATACAGAGAGATTCTTATAATTGCTTCTATGTTCTTCTATACTGAAACCCACATTGGTCCATCTCTGCCAGACCTCTTCACTACTTCCTGGTCCCCTTTTCACTTATTGAAGGAGATGAGGCTAATTCTAGTTTTTGGCCATTATAAATAGAGTTGCTAAGCATATTTGTGAACAGGTTTTATGTGAAAGTAAGTTTTCATTTCTTAGGGACTAAAGACAAGAGTACAATTGCTGGTCATGGGTAGTTGCATGTTTAATTTTATAAGAAACTCAAAGTGACTGTGCCATTTAACATTCTCACAGGCAATGTGAATGACCCAGTTTCTTTTTGTTCTCACGAGCATTTGGTGGTGTCACTATTTTTTATTTTAGCCATTTAAGAATTAAATGCTCAAAGCCTAGCATGTTTTTAAGAGAGTTTTAAATAGTTTTTAATATTTTGGCCACTATTGTAGGAACTCCAGGTTTTGAAATTAATTTTTTATTTTTAACTAGGACGAAGCAGGTTCTGTTTGCCCCTCACTTGCAGAGGCAGATTCAGTGTTAAATGTACAGCTTTCTGCTTACAGGCCTTGTTACTTAGAGCCCATGAATCCTTGCTGAAACAGCCCTGAGGCCTGATTGTTAGAACTTTATCACTTTTAAATTCTGAATTGTTAAAAATTTTATTAGAAGCTTTCGGCCTGAAATAAAGACAGTCACCATTCCTTTTACTGTGGGTCAGGACTTCTTTGTAAAGGTTTTACATTACTATTCTTTTTATCCTTAAAAGTTTCCTGTTTAAGGTCTATGGCAGTTGGAATCATTTGGCCATATAGACCTGGGCTAGTAGCAGACACCAGCATTTTACTATGTGTGGGGTGTAAGTGGCGTCTGTCCTGCTTTCTTTCACAGATGATTTATTATATTTCCACTGACTTGGGGAAATTGTGGTGATACCTGTGTCTTTATTTCATGTGAGTAAACCATAATATATGAACTAAGAATGGAATCCATAAAGTGGAGCTTTGTGAAGTCGAGCTTACAAACAGGGCATGTGAAGCATGCTTTTCCAGCATCCCTTAGTTTTACATTCTTTAGTAAATTAAAACAGCTATTGCTCAGTTATTACAAATAAGTTATACATCTCTTTACTCTCCTTGCTTCTCTTGTTATTATCTGCTATGCATATTCCAGTGACGTGTTTATTTATTTTGTATATCAACAGGTGACAGTTAAAGGATTTGAACCTTTAATTCAGTTTGCCTACACTGCTAAACTCATTTTAAATAAAGACAATGTGGATGAAGTATGCAAATGTGTGGAATTTTTAAGTGTACACAATATTGAGGAATCTTGCTTTCAGTTTCTCAAATTTAAGTTTATGGACTCCACTTCAGACCAGCAAGAATGTACAAGGAAAAAATGCTTTCCATCTTATTGTCAAAAATCAGACCTTAAATTTTCACTTTCAGACCAGAGAGATTCAGAAATTGATGAAGCAGAGGAGTTTCTGGAAAATAAAAATGTTCAGACCCCTCAGTGTAAGCTCCAAAGGAATCAAGGAAATGTAAAAGCATCGCCTCCCCTCCAAGACAGTGCCAGTCAGACCTGTGAGTCCTTGTGCTTGGGGAAGGAGGCTGCTCTGGCTTTGCCCTCTTTGTGCCCCAAATACAGAAAATTCCAAAAAGCATTTGGAACTGACAGAGGCCGTACTGTGGAATCTAGTGTCAAAGATGTTCATGTGGCTTCCGGTCAGCCAGATGAGATACCTGAAAATGAATGTCTACGGGGAGGCCAAGACTCTGCTGACCTGCAGTTGATTTTAAAATGTGAAGAAAGCAAGTTAGCAATGGCATATGAAGAAACAAAGAAAAAAGATCCCACTTCCCAATGCCCAACACAAGAACCAACAGAAGTAACTCCTCTTCCCCACAGTTCTTCTACAGACCCTCATGGACTCTATTCTCTGTCTCTTTTACACACATATGACCAATCTGGTGACTTGAATTTTGCTGGTATGCAAAACACAACAATGAAAGCAGAAAAACTTTTGTCGGGTACAGATGCTCAAGAAGGGAAAACATTTTGTGAAGGTCAGGATTTATATTTGAAATCTGACATGGGCCCTAAGGAAGATGGTAGCCTTGCATCTAGTGATCGGAGCAGTGTGGAACGAGAGGTGGCAGAGCACCTAGCAAAAGGCTTCTGGAGTGACATTTGCAACACCAACTCTCCTTGCCAAATGCAGTTGTCACCTGCTGTAGCCAAAGATGGCTCAGAACAGATCTACTCACAGAAACGGTCTGAATGTCCCTGGTTAGGTATCAGGATCAGTGAAAGCCCAGAACCAGGCCAGAGGACTTTTGCAACCTTAAGTTCTGTCAACTGCCCTTTTATAAGTACCCTGAGTACCGAAGGTTGTTCAAGCAGTTTGGAAATTGCAAATGATGGTTACGTTTCAGAGCCTCAGCAGGAACCTTGTCCATATGCTTGTGTGATTAGCTTGGGTGATGACTCTGAGACAGACACAGAAGGTGACAGTGAATCCTGTTCAGCCAGAGAACAAGAATGTGAGGTGAGCAGGGCACATTCTGACTTCATTGTTTTAACAGCCATTCATTCACTCTGGGTTAGTTCCTGATGCACCAGTAGGGATATGAGTAGGCTCAGGAAGGGAGGAGGAAATGTATAGTACCATGTGATAAATACCAAAAAAGTGAGATGAAGTTTGAAAGACTTCTGTGTTCATATGGTTCAGGTAGATGTATTTCCACCAATGGAGGAGATTCACACAGACACTGGCAATTTAACTGTTTAAATTAAAAGTCATGTCCAGGAGTCCTAAGTCCTGGGCAGTGGTCATCTGTCCAGCCTTCTTCATTGCCCAGGGACCTCTAGTTCTGTTTGTCAATGTTTGGGAGCAGTGGTTTGGCAGGAATTCGTTGTAGGAATGTGGCTTCTAATGTAACATTTTCTTGGACCTAGTTTTTTCATGGTCATTGCTTTTATTATTTTTTCTCATTTACCCTTAGCCATTTCAACTTTAGTTTAATGAATGTCTTAATTTAGCATGAGTTCCATGTAGATGGTATGACATTAATCATACCAAACTTGATCCATTACTCTGTGTATAGAAGTTTGTATTTTAACAGCTGATTTTTGTAAAATATTAGTGTAAGTTTAGTAATAATGTCCTTTTTGTAAAAAAGTTAAAAATTTGGTTTCATGTACTTTTTTTTATACTTACGATTTGTACTTTTTATTATTTTCAACCTTACTATGTTTTTCCCTTTCTTACATTTTATTTACTTTTAAGAAATTGTGGTAACATGAGATCTACCCTTATGACAAATTTTTAAGTACACAATACAGTCTTGTTAACTATAGGCACACTGTTGCACAGTAGATCTCTGGAACCTGTTTTGTGTAATTGAAACTTACCATTGAGAACAACTCCCATTACCTCTCCTTCCAGGCCCTGGCAAGCACCATTCCACCCTGTTTCTATAAGTTGGATTATTTTACACACCTCATATATGAGAGATCATGTAGCATTTACCCTCCTGCTTTCAGCTTATTTTTCTTAGCATAATGCCCTACAGGTATGTTCATATGGTGGCATATGACAGCATTTCCAGCTTTGTACAAGGCTGAATAGTATTCCACTGTATATGTATATATACCACATTCTCTTTATCCATTCGTCTGTGCATGGATATTCCAGTTGTTTCCACATGTTGCCTATTGTGAATAATGCAGAGATGAATATGGAAGTGCAGATATCTCTTTGAAATCTGATTTCAGCCCATTTTCAGATTGGTAGATTTGTGGTAATTATGTTTTTAATTTCTTTATTTTTGAGTTAAGCATATTAAAAATACTTTAGAAAGATGCTTAAACAATTTGGGGTGTTAACATATAGTAGTAAATAAATTCTATCTTTCCATATTAAATACATTAATATGTGTGTTAATATATCTGACTTACTGAAAAAAGTATTAGCTTCTCAACTTGTCTTCAGAACACTCTCAAATAGACTAGAAACATCAGTTTGAATTATCAGGTTTTGTTATAATGGGTTATATAGAAATTGGAAAATAGTTCTATTTAAAAAAAGTTTGTTAAGCTCTCTGAAAAACTTAGATGCACATCTTTACCTTCCTGAATAAAAGTATAGCTACAAAATACATTAATAATTACTGATATTTATTTCACATTCTAGGTTAAACTGCCATTTAATGCACAGCGAATAATTTCACTCTCGCGAAATGATTTTCAGTCCTTGTTGAAAATGCACAAACTGACACCAGAACAACTGGATTGTATCCATGACATTCGCAGAAGAAGTAAAAACAGAATTGCTGCACAGCGCTGTCGGAAGAGAAAACTTGACTGCATACAGAATCTTGAATCAGAGATTGAGAAGCTGGTAAGTGTACAAGTTTCTTATTATTTAAACCCAACACTTTCTTCTTTGTAGAGGAAATTGCAGTTTAACTTCCTAGGTAAGATAATGCTCTATTACATATTTTAAAATTATCAATTACTATCTTAAGAAAAATTACATGCCATTTTCAAAAAGATTAGAAAATTCAAAACATGAGGGTTTTATTGACTATTTTACTTATGTAAACATCCTACATTTTTAGCATTATATTCTATAACTTGCAAGTTGAGAACTATGAGTACTTTTTTTAAAAATGATTTTCAAATTAAGGATGATTTTACTATGTACCTAATTTTTGGTGGTTGAGTAAAGCTTTATTAAAGTAATTATCAGCACTTTAAATTCTCGTGATGTATTTGGTGTCTGTAAAAGCTAATGTTCCAGTTGAGTGGCTTAAATGAACACTAGACCTGAATTACTTATTTTGGTTGATACCAAAACAGACTAACCAGTATCTTTCATCCAAGGGGAAAAATTCTGATATGATAGGTGATATGAACAGAAAATTTTAAGATCTAATGAGATACTAAGTAGGAAGAGTGCTTGCCTATTGAATCTTAATTTATATTCAGCATCAAAACACAAATTAACTGAAAAATAGATGAATTTTCTTCCCATTTCTCTTATCCCTAGTGGTTGGTTAAAGTGAGAGAGGACAACTGTTGATAGTACAGGCCAGCTGAGGGCAAAATGTGGGTGAAACAACAGGGGAAGAGCCTAAAAGTAGGACAAAAAAAAATTCTCGAGTGTTCAGTTTTGTGTCTGTTATTTATTGGTGAAAAGTGTAAAGTGATTGTAACAGCATTCTACCTATGAGTGGTAATTTTTAAACAATACAATTTAGAGATGAAAAGTACCTTAATAGGCCTTCAAGATATTGAAAAATAAATTTTTAAACATATTATGCATGTAATTTACGCAAAAAGTGTAACTATGTAAAAAAGATGAAGACATGACAGATTTTATAAAAACCTATGGTATTTGCTGAATAATTAAAGTTTTTGGGACCAAAGGGAAATGTTGCACATTCAGTGATGCATACTCAGTACTCTTAGAGTGTTTTGCAGCCATGCTGTTAAGCTCTAACATTCTTTCTTATTATCTACCTCTAAGCTTAATGCTTACTTGCTTGTAGATGGATGATAGTGTATTTCATAGAAATTATAGAAGTTTAGTTATTCTGTTAGTGTGATATAGAAGTGCTTTTTACACTATTGGGTTATATGTAGCTATTTGAAGTTGGCATGAAATACTGCTACTAGAGCAATTAGTTCTGCTTCTTGCCATCCTGTCTTTCCTCTCAACTAGGTATAGCTTATAGTTGGCAGTAGAATATATCCAGTTTTCGTACTCTTCTAAAAAGAAACAAAGATAAAACCAAATCAAGAGTAGTTCCGTTTTGTCTTACATTGTAAATGGTCCTGTGCAGTTATATTTGAGAGTAGCCCTTCTATTTACTGGTTCAAAGGTCTCATTCATATTTTGATTCAAGGCAGACATTCGACTGCTTGGTTAATTGGTATTTTTCATAAATTTCATGTGTATCTAGGCTAAAGAAGCCTTGCTGTTTCTTTGGGCTTTCTGACTTCTCTGCATTTGCTTCAACAGAGAGGGTGGGAGACATGGTGGTTGAAAGAGTAGAATTCTGATGCATTGTGCCTTTGGGTAGGCTGTTAATTTCTCCATGTCTCACATTTCTCATCTCTAAATAAGAGTGTTACTTCCTGCTTTATAGATAAGTTGCTCATTTATGAGGAACAAATTAGTTAATATAGCTGAAGAACTCAGAACAGTATCTGATACATAGCAAGCACTCAGTAAGTTATTCGTCTGTGTTTAGGTTTCTCTCTGTTGGCTTCCATCCTAATGTCTCTGCCTGAACTGTAAATTCAGTCTGGACCCCAGTCTACTTTGCCTGCCTTATCTGAGTTAAATTCCTTTCATGTGGTCAACAGAATAACCACTTGTACTTTCCAATGCAAAGTATTTGACTTCTGGGCTGTTTTTGTGAAGTCAGAAACTGGAGTGGTCAGCACCCTATTTACCTATTTTATTAATTTGAATTCTAACTTCAAGAAACAGGAACCATCTGAAGAATGAATGAAACCATTTGTTGGAAGGTGGTAGATGTGTCTCATTTAGAAGCTCGGTGTTGGAGCCGGGCCTTCTAAATAGAATGAAACAAGAAAGCAGAAGACCTCCCTGAAGCCCACTCTCTCAGGCGGCACCTGCACCTGCTCTTCCTCCCCCACAGTGTGGCTTTCAGGCTCCTCAGTGCCTGTCGGGGGGCAGTCCCTGGGCAGACAGAGTAGAGAGCCTGACTCCAGTGTGCTGCATCCAGAGCTCAGTCATCCATCTCTATCCTCTTCCAGCATATCCAGAGAGTCCTGCTGGAGTCTGTGTGGGATGACTTGTTTTGGCTTTCCACTTCCTTGAACTCTCCACTCAGTTCTTTATACTACTCTCAATTGTAGTGATTTATACAGGCAAACTTTGGTTGCCCAGTGCAAGGAGCATATTAAGAATTTCTCTCTTGCCACAGATGTCTTCCTTAGACAAAAATAAGCAGAAAGTGCACTTCTTATGAGCTAATGAGAATAAGAAAGTTTCCAGAAGAGAATTTGATGCTTAAAATACAGTCATGTGCCACATATGATCTTTCTGTCAATGATGGACTGCATGTATGACAGTGGTCCATAAGATAATGGAGCCAAAAATTTCATTGCCTAGCTGAAAGGGAAGAAGAAAAGGGAAAGTACAGGAGAAAATACTGCCAGGAAAATCACAGTGAAGGGTTCAGCAGAAGCTTTTGTAGACCTCAGCTAGCTCCTTTAAAAGTCTGACTTCTTCACTGGCAGGTTTTTATGAATAGAGAGGACTACTCACAACACATCATCTGCTTACCAGCACATATCTGGTGAAAATGACCACGGACTTATTTCTGAAAAAAAGTGACACCTTCTCAGTAAGCTCTTCAGTCACGTTCTTCAGGAGGGGCATTGTTGTCATAGGAGAGGATGGCACCATCCATGTCACTGCCCCAAAGCCTCCTGGGGGCAAGATGCGGAGGTGCCAGACAGGGACGGTCTTCACCCTGCCTAGACCTGGGCCACTGTATGTGTGTCTTAGTTTTTAACAAAGGAGTTTAAAAATTAGAATAAAAATTTTAAAATAGAAAAAAGCTTGTAGAATAGTGACGTAAAATACTTTTTCATAGTGTTTGCATGTTAAGCTAAATTTTATTACAAAAAGAGACAAAAGTAAAAAAATTAAAAATTTATAAGGTTAAAATTATAGTAAATCAAACTTAATTTATTACTGAAGAAAAAATTTAAATTTAGTACAGCCTAAGTGCACAGCTATAATGTCCACTGGGGTAGACAGTACTGTTCTACTGCACTGGGAAGCACGGTCATCACCCATCCAGAGCAGTTTGCAGTTCTGTAAGCTCCACTCATAAGTGCTCTATACAGGTGTACATTTCTAATCTTTTAGCCATATTTTTACTGTGCCTTTCCCATGTTAAGTTATGTGTAGATACTCAGATATTTACAAGGGTATTACATGGTTGTTGACAACAGGCTAGCCCGTGTAACTTAGGCATGTTGTAGGCTGTACCATTTAGATTTGTGTAAGTACACTCTGATGTTTGCACAGTGGTACAGTTAACATTTCTCAAAGCATATCCCCATCATTAAGTGACACATGACTATAGTTATTATAGGAAGTTCACTTGGACCCTGGCATTGGGTCATGTTACGGTCTTGGCTTTTGTAAAAAGAGAAGTGAGAGGAGTTACAGCCACAGTTTTGTACTTATTAGCATGCACAGTTGAGAATTCAGCAGAATTCAGATATTCTTTTTAAGACCTCATTGAACATTGAGATCCTACTATTTGAAGCATGGCCTGTAGACAGGCAGTGTTACCAGTCTTAATAGTGGAATTTCTGCAAACCTATTTAAGAGAAATTCATTGTTTCACATTTGCATATGAACTAAGACTTAATATATAAATAAATTCACAGTATTTATTGCTTTGGTCTGACAATATTCAGACAGAGGGTTCTATATTCTAGTAATTTGGAGTATTTGTTCACTTTTCCTAGAGAGAAATCCTACAACTTTTCATAGTGGGTCCTGAGAGTAGCAGCATATTAGTCTGGATAGATGAGCACATGAGAAAAGTGTTTTGACTACAATAGAATAATCATTCCAAATGCTTGCAGGGTGGACCAATAGTGTAATCAGGTACAAAGGATTCTTTCATGGGCTCAATTTGCTAGAAAAGTCAAAGGGGAGATACCAGCTTGCATCCAGTAAATAAGACTTCTCATCATGATCTCTCAGTTTCTAATAGAACCTTTGAAGAAGAGTATTTGACAGGAAATTGATTACACTTATTTTGAATTTTATAGTATGGTGGGGGGTTAGGCATGAATTCTGCATTGTTTTACTGTAAAGATTGAATATACATAATGTGCCAATCAAAATGACTTTTTAAACTAATGTAAGATCTTGGGACAAAGTTGAGTCATTCAACTTCTGTTAATGTGTTTGATTTGTGAAGCACTTGCTTCTGTAGGATTCTTTACAAGGTCCAAGTTTATTCTTTTCTAGATGATTAATTCAGAAGTTAGAATGCATGCATTGTTTAGCCTGCAGCACCCACATTTGCTTAGTGATAATTTGGAGATATGAATGCTATCTACCCCAGGGCTGATGCAAGGATCAAATGTGATCAGGAATGGAGAGGTTTTTGTGCTGCCCAGCAGAGGTCAATAACTTTTGAATTAAAACAGACCTGTATTCTTTAAGTATCTGCTGGCCACTATGTGTTGAAGTACACCTGGTCAGTCTTCACTTAGAATCTTCCAGGAGCTCAGTTTATGTGTGTTTATTTTTCTTGAGGTTCATCTCTTCTCCCATCCCCATCTGGAAGTTTTCAGCCTTCAGGAAAGTTAATGAATGGTACAATGATCGCCCTGTACTCTAGATCAGCAGTTACTGGCATTCTGCCACATTTGCCCTATTTTCGTTTCTATCTATTTCAGTCTGTTTCTTTGGGCCTCTGTCTGTCTCTTTCTGGCCAGGTCTGTGTCTCCCTCTCTTTTTTTTGTCTATCTTTATGCAGTCGGTTCCTCTGTCTGTCTCCATCAGTCTTTTTTGCAGTTTTTTTGGTGTTTTAACTTAGGGCCTAGCACTTACTAGACAGGTGCTCTACCACTTGAACCACACATCCAGCCCTTTTTACATTAGGTTATTTTTCAGATAGGGTTTCGTGCTTTTTGTTCAGCTGGCTTGAAATTGCAGTCCTCCCACCTACACCTCCCATCTATCTGGGATCATAGTCCTGTACCACAACACCTGGCTTGTTTATAGAGATGGGGTTTTAGTAACGTATTCCCTGGGCTGGCCTCAGAATGTGATTGTCCTGATCTCTGCTTCCAGAATAACTGGAATTATAGGCATGAACCACTGTGCCCAGTCCCCAGTCTCAAGTCTCTTTCTAACCCCACTTGGTTTTTGAGCCCTGATCTCACTGTTAATTCTGTCCTGCTTGTTGCTGTCCATCTCCTCTGGCATTCTTACTCTTGCTTTATTTTCTGAACCATTTGAAAGCTACCAATTATGACACTTTTCCCTAAACGCTTAAATGTGCAATCATCTAAAATAGACATTCTTACCTATGATTAATATTTTTCTCACTTGAGAAAATGAACAAATTTGCAATATTATATATATATATTATATATATATATAGTCCTTATTTAAATTACTCTAGATAAAGATAGATGCTTTTTTCCCCCAAACAATGCTTCCATTGTTAAACTAGTCCCTCCATTTTTAACCTAGTCTTTCCATTTTTAAAAAAAAGACAATTGTTTTTTGAAGAGTAGAGGTCAGATTTCTCATAAAATGTTTCACTTTCCATTTGTCGGATTATTTCCCCGTGGCTTTACCTCATTCTTCCATCCATCCCTTTATTTCATGCAAGCTGGGAATGAATTATTTAAGTTGATATTAAGTGCACATGGATGTTCTGTTTTTCATACCATGTCACCTGGGGAGGCATCCAGTATCAGGGTGTCCCATCTAGGTAGGTGGGAATTGCCAGGTTTTTTTCATTTTCAGAGTTATACTTTTTGTCCTTCTGATTGCTCAGTGACTTGTGAAGTGTTGCTTGGACACTTTGTAAATATCCTGTTCCCCAGCACTCCAGCATCCTTTGGATTTTGTCATATGGCAGTGGCATTTACAGTGAGGACTATGCAATAATGATTTTCCTAATTCTTAACCTTTTCATTAGTGGCTATTCCTTTTTAAATAGGAGGACCTTACTGACCTGTAGTCTCACTGTGGACTCATGAATTAATTTTTTTCTGATCCATTTGTTATAATTAACAGTAGCCAGCCATTGTTCTTTTTGACTTTTTTACTGTCAAATTTGTCTGGGAAGAGCCCTTTTAAGCCACCTGTCCTGTGGCATGACCCCAGTAGAGTTTCTTTGTGTCAGGCACATGTCATAGGCATGAGCCCCAAGATTTGGAATCCCTTGTTTCTTCAGTACTGTCCAGTGTTTTTAGTCAGGCATTGGACTTTGGGAGGCATACCTGCTGCTGGAGTGTTTGTTGTTCCTTATGGGCATTTCAGTGGACAGAACTTGCGAATATACGTGCCTGTGTGTGTGTATCAAGAATAAAGGTCTTTTAGCATATAAATGAATGTGTCGAATTCAATAAGTGAAGGTAAGAGGCATGTTAGAAATCTTGAGTTCAGTAGAAATTTCCACTCTGAATTTAGCAGTACAAAGCTTTCATCTGCTTCTTTTTATGCTTTATCTCTTAGAATTTACAGAGGAAGTCTTGGTTCCAGTTATATTGGTCTATTCATTATTTGCTTTACCCTAAGACATATATAAAATAGTCACAAAATTGTATGCCATCTTAACAATATACAGATTGAATAATACTTCAGATTTATTTTCCTTTTTGTCCTTAAATACATTCTAAAATGGCAGTTTAAAGTTATTTTAAGTAATTCTTTGTGTTACCAATCTGATACATTTTAATTTGTTTCTGTGCATTTTACTATGACTCACCCTTTATATTTTAATTCTTAAATATGTGAAACGTTTCTGTGATTTGAAAGATGAAAAACTATGTTCTGAAAAAAAAAAAAAAGTCTTAGTCCTCTACTCTCTCTGAACTCTATTCATGGCTACTGCCTGTAGCCAGAAGTTTATCAAACTGCAATGCATCAATTTCTGGGTCCCCATCTCTCCGCCCTGCATTTCCTTTGTGGAGATAAAGTAATATTTTAGGTGTATTCTTACTACCCTTGCTGCCATATGGAAGTATTTTACGTATACTGTCTGTGTTTTACTCTTTTTACTTAAGAAGTGATTTCTAGGAATGTTTTTCTTACTCCAGAAGGTTTCGCTCTTTACAGCTCCATAGTGCAGGGTACTCAAACTTTCTGTTCTCGATAGGCATTTGGCATGTGCGGTGGACTGCTTTTGTACACTGTTCTTCAAGTGTAGAGTAATAATATATTTAAGATAGATTCTTGGAAGGGATTTTGTTCGATTTAGGGCAAATGCATATGAAGTATTGTTAGATATTAACAAAGGCCCTTCTTTAGTGGTGTATCATTTTTGCCTTCCCTCCAGCAATAAATGTGTCTGTCTGCTCACAGCTTCAGCAAAGAGTTTGTTGTTGGATTTTGGGTTTTTACTCAGTGTGATAGTAAGAACTAGTTTCTCATGGTAGCTTTTATTTGATCTTTTATGAGTAAAATTGAGCATTTTTGTTCATGCTTTCAATTACTATTTATAGATTTCTCTGAACTGTTTGTGTTCAGACGTTTTACGTCACAAGGAACTGTAAGTGACCATTTTCTACCAGTGAGTATTCTCTACCCTAAAATAAATTATCACTGTCATCTGGCTCATTGGTACCAAATTTTTATGTTCCTTGTCCTTATATTTTTTGTATAAAACTTTAACAGTATTTGGGTAAATCAAAGTTCTTAATACCCTTTTAGTGACTTTTTTGCCAGACAGGCCCTAAAACATGACAGTTGGAGATCAGCACTGTGAAGTAACTCATCTACATGTCCTGGCTACCTCAGCTCTCTAGAACCTGTTAGGAGCGGAATGCAAGCAGAACATGACCTCTGATTTTCAAAGAGAGTTGTCATAAATTTCATAAGGGAAACCTTTGACCTTCTATCAACATTTATCTGCCCCTGCCTTATAAACAGCTTGATTGTTAGGTTTCCTAGCTTATAAGCAATGAAATGTAGAGCAAGTAGAAGGTAGCATGATAGAAAAAGGCATGCTGTCAGCAGTGATAAGTGACATGGACAGAAAGGAAGCAAGCAGGAAAACTTGGAAAAATTCTACGGTAGCCTTTCTTACAGGGGTACAATTTATATTAACATAATAATAAACACAGTAAATAATAAACATAATTAAACCTCTCAAATTCTTTACACCTTAGTAACTCACCAACTAGCCTTCTATTTCTGGACCCATTAAACTCCTAGTGCTATCTATCAAGCGAGTTTAATATTTCATAAATCAATAGCCATCATGTAGGTCATACATCTAAGACTGTGTATTTGAAAACATTTACTATAATAAATGGCACAAAGGAACTGCTCAAGAAAGTAGTCACTGCATGCTTGAAATCCCAGCTATGTGGGAGGTGGAGGTAGTAGGATCCTGGTCTGAGTCCAGACTCTATCTGAAAAATAAATTAAAGCATAAAGGACTTGGGGTGTGGCTCAAGTTGTGGAGTGCTTACAGGCCCTGAGTTCAAACCCTAGTACTGCAAACAGAACAGAACAAAATAACAACAAAAAAAGAAGTAGTCATTAGTTGAATCTTGCAATGGGGTGAGTCTCAGTAGTTAAGTTGTTTTGTTTAGTCCATCCAAAATGTCAAGTTCACATTTATTTATCTGCAGTCTGTAAATCTGAAAAGCTCTGAAAGTTGCAAATTTGTCACAAAATCTTACTGAAAACGAATTCAAATTCATAACAAACCATGTAGTTTTTTTTTCCTACTTTGCACGTTATTTGATATTTTCAGTGTTTACTTAAAAGTGTAAAAATACTTAATAGTGGGGTATTGCCCAGGCCTCCTGGGGGATCTGTGTGTTCACCCATATTATTCTAAAATGTTAAAAATTCTGGATTACAAAATATATCTGATTCCAAGAGTTTTGGATGAGGGATTATGAACCTTTGGTGGTTAACATTTTCATGTGATTTTATTTAGTGAGAAGACACTTATTAAAGATACTGAATGTTTGATTATCTGAGAAACAAGTCACCATGTCTTCTTTCCTCTCTCTGTAGCAAAGTGAAAAGGAGAGCTTGTTGAAGGAAAGAGACCACATCTTGTCCACTCTGGGTGAAACAAAGCAGAACCTAACTGGACTTTGCCAACAAGTCTGTAAAGAAGCAGCTCTGAGTCCAGAACAGATTCAGATTCTCGCCAAGTACTCAGCTACAGATTGCCCACTTTCCTTTTTAATTTCTGAAAAAGGAAAAAGTACTCCTGATGGTGAAGTTGTGCTGCCGTCCGTTTTCAGTCTATCTGATGTGCCGGTGGTGCTGCCTCCTTACAGGAGAGGAAGCTGTGAGGCTGGCTATAAGCCGGGTCAGGAATCCCAGCCCAGCTCTACAGCCACCGCCAAGCAGCTTGTGGAACAGTGTCGCCAGAGTGGCGTGATCTCCGAGTTCTGTCAGCAGATGACTGATAAATGTACTACTGACTAGTAAACTTGGTTTGCTTCCTTCAGCCCATGCAACTTGCTACTGAAGTTTTGGTATTGTCTTGAAAGCCTAATATGGCCATCTCTTGCTTAATAGTACTGATTTCCCTACTAGCTTTCTATCCACTGAATTTCTCTTTAAGTTAACCCTGATTTCTCTCAATTTTCACAAGAGACACCAAAATGACTTGCCTCCTGAGTATTGAAAAACCACATGTGGAAATGTAGCAGGCTATTAAAACTTGTGTTTTAAAGAGTAACTGTTAGTTTTAGTAATAACTTCCCAGTATTCAAAATAACCATGAGAATAAAAACTTCAGCCTGTAATAGTCTAAGAGCTCGAAACATCTGTAGAGTTCTGCCGAAAAAGTTTCATGATCTACTTTTTTGCAATGTACAGATTTAAGAGAAAGTTTCTCCCCAAGCAATATAGTTCTAGTCTACTTAGAAGTAGGATGTGAGTACTGGAAATATTTGCATAGAGCTGCAGTGTGAAAAATCTACCATCTTTCCTGAGTTCTGGAGCTTTGTGCTCAGCTCCTCCTACACCCAGGTGTTGGTCGGGCTTCACTATAGCTCGTGGGCTACACTGGCAGCATTCAGTGTTGGGCAGGTGGTACCTGAGGTGGAGGCTTCCCCCTTCTTCAGTAGACTGTAGAATTTTGTTCAGAATAAATAATAAATAAATACCATTTTCCCTCCTCAGTTTCCACCACATCAAAGCCCATTATGAACTTTCCTGATACTCTTATTGCTTGGAAAGAGAAAAGGGACCCAGGATGCATGGCTCATGTGCACCGACTGGCAGCATTATCTTAGGCCCCTGATCTGGAGAGCTTCCCAACATACACAGATGCTTTCTCTTCCACTGTAGGTCACTGATGCCAGAAAAGCAGGCATGAGAATCAAGGGAAAGAGCTTTTTCTACATTACCAGGAATGTAGCTCATTTTTGAAGTCCTGTGGTACGCATGTTGAAAGCGTTATTGTGGATAAAAATGTCTGAAACAACGCTACAACTTTTTGAAAAAGGGTGAATCTTGGTCTTATTGCATTATGGGTTTGTATTTGAGAACCAAGTTTAATCCTTGCCTTTTTTCCCAAAATTTGGTATGATGTAAAGACACACAGATCATTTTCACTTGGGTATGTAAAAATCAGTCTTTGTGTTTATTTGGTCCTCTTATAAAATGTATTTCTAATCTGATCACTTGTCCCATAACACTTTTCAGTGAGCTGTTTTCTAGAATTAAATATTTTAAGAGGCAAATGAAAGTTATAGATCTCAGCAGTTAAACAAAAAAATCGCACTTACAGGTTGAGTATCCCTGGTCAAGAAATTAAAATGCTTCAAAATCTGAAACTTTTTGAGTGCTGACAAGATATCACAAGTGGAAAGTTCCATGCCTGACCTCATGTGAGAAGTTTCAGTCAAAACACCAGTGCACTAAAAATGTTAAAATGACTTAGCCTGTTTGCGTAAGGTGCAGTCGAAACACGAATGAATTTCATGTTTAGACTCGGGCCTCATCCCCAAGATATCTCATTATGTATATGGCACATATTCCAGAATCTGAAACAGTCTGAACTCTGAAGCACATTGAGTCTTAAGCAATTCAGGTGAGGGATACTCAACCTGTATTCACATTTACAGAAACTTTTGCAGAACCCAGTACTAAATGGTACAAAGAAATGGTGGTATATGGAGTAGAAAGTGCTTCATTTCATCAAGTCAGACACCTGTAAGAGATCCTTCTCTTGATAGCACCCTGAGTCTACTGAAGTATCTGGGTAGCTAAAGAGGGAACAGCCACCACAGTGAATGACATGTTGGAAGTAAGTAGATCTTTGCCTTGCGAGTGTATGGGGACCAGACTCAGGCTTCAGAGCAGTGTGTCAAATGTTGGCCTTTTTCATTGGGGTGCAGAGAGAGGAAGGATAGTACTCATATATTTTTAGTATTTGTTATCTTTGTTATTGACTTAGTTGGAAGAGAAAATTACTTGAGATTATTTTCTAGAAGGTTTCATAAGTATACTCAATTTGTCAGGGCAAATAGTCATTCTATGAAAACGCATCCCACATTACAGAATTGTGTGTATATAACCCCTGTGTAGCTACTTCTTTGATATTTGTAATTTAAATTTCAGCTTCACAATGTACAATAATATAAAAACTTCTGGTTTACAAAATGTAAAATATTACACAAGCCAATGGAATTCTTGATTTCCTACCTCAGTATATGCTCAACTGTCAGCAGTTTTTATATGTGCAAATGTTAATCTTTTGCTTTAATTCCAACTGTAAATACTTGCTTTGAAAAGTTATTTACTGTTTTATGATAAAATCTAGCTGTCTCCACAGTTTAAATATAATTTTAAAGCACTTGGTTTGAATTTCTCTCTACCTATAAGCAGTTTAGCATTAAGGGTTTATTTTAATGGCATCTGATAATTGGCCAAGTGTAATTTTTCTTAAAATTTAGCATTACTTTCAATAACCAGCATGTAATACAAGTAAATACACTACCTCATACCTACATGATTTTCAAGTTGTAATATAGATGGACAAAAAAGATTTTGTCTTTGTCTTTTGACCATAAGGTGGGGAAGTTTTCTATATATTGTATAGCATTACACATTTATGCCTATTTTAACATTAACTTCTAAAGAAGTTTTTTCTAAGAAAATTTGTTTTAAGGCAATATTTTTTGAGACTGCCGAAGACAAATGACAGGATTACGTGTATACAGTGTATGCCTTTTCCTTCATGCCGAAGTTTGAAAATGTTTGTTTGTGATTTCCGTAATCATTGTTTCTTATTCTATGAACCCGACCTTCTCAGTGCTTGATGACTGACTCAGCAAAATAACATTACCATAAATTTCTTCCCTTATTTGAATACTATAACTTTAGCAAATAATTTGTTAAATTGTTATATTCAAAATAAATGTGGATATAATGTTGGTTCTCCATCTGTAAGTTTTACAATAAATTATAGCCTAATGTGTAACCAATTTAAGGAGTTAAGTATATTTGATGCAGTAGACCATACAGATTGCAGGTGGACACTCAACATATTACCAATTGGGAAAAAACAAATGGCAGTGTTACAGTGAATTCTCAGGTGACCTTTTTTCATTATGAAAACATCTATTTTGAATTTGTAAATATTTTAAATGTTTTATTAAGGCATGTAATAAACTATTCCTTGAACCCTGTTGGGTATAATAAAAATTTAAAGCCATAATGGCAAAAGGTAGCATCCTGATTGTAAAATAAACAGAAATAATAACATTGATTTTTTTTGTATCTTTCATAATATAATTTTCTAACCGCAATAAAACCACTAAACTTATATATCCATGTTTCATTAAAAGTAAACTTTCATAGTATTTAATTTACAGTTTTCTAATGTGCTTATCTGAATGTATCAAAACTGAATATTAGATGTTGATAAGTTGACACGTAAATAAAATTCTTTAAAAATTGCCTTCAGTTTAGTAGAGTTGTACATTCCATGTTCATTTCTCATCTCTTGAGTTTACTAATTTTAACCTTTTGATCAATTATCAGAAGTCGTAGACTGGCATTATAGGGGAGAACTTGATTAGTTGATTATCATGTCTGATGTTTAGGGTGTGCAGATTTTAGTCTTTCATCTGATTTACTTCATTTCAGTCTTTGACTTAGGTTGTCAAAGACTACCTAGAAGAAGGGCTACACTTCTATCAGTCACTGATTTTCAAAAACATCTGTAAGGTCAACTATCGTCTTACATTTAGTTTCCAGTAAGGCCCTTGTCACCAAGCTATGAGTGGCTGCTCAGTGTTTTAGGGCACCAAGGGCAAGTCCTCTGGTCTAAGTAATGGTTCTCAGTTGGCACAGTTTTTCCAAAGAATTTAGGATACTGCATTGGTGGGCAGAGGCTCAAGATGCTATTTAGCGTCCTACAACATACAGGCAGCTTTTAACAACAACCAACCATTACTGCGAGTGTCAGTCATGCTAATGTTGAGAAACCCTGATTAGACTTAAGGAGGAGGTCAAGATGACATGTCAGAAAGTGCTCAGGTGAGCAGTGTGATAGCTATGAGTTCAAAAGAGGAATGTCACCAAGTTTTGAAACATTTCAATCTGGGGAGAGGAGGCTACTTGATAGAAATAAGCCGGTGTATTTTTGAAATGGGATGAGGACCTATCACAGAGAGGAGACCCAGCCTCGACTAAGCTCCTTGAGAGCAGGCTCCCTTGGTTGTCATTTACCAGTGTGTCTCACAGGTCTTGTATATTGCCCTGCATAACTGACTGAATTCCTGAGGCCCTGAGGTCAGACATAACGGGCTTTAAGAAAAACAGAAATGTTTAAGTGGCCAGGGCTTTGAGCAAAAGGCAGTCTGCATTGTTAATGGAGGCCATGACTTTCTAGCTGTTTAGTCCAATAAATTTGCTGAAAGTGAATTCTGGATCTAAGTAGATTTTTCATCTACCCAGTCACCACTGCTCACCCTCAAAGAGGTGGAACAGCTGGAGGAACAGAAAAATGCTTTTTTAAGTGCAAATTCAAGATTGGGTGGGCAGAGCCAAGTTGGAAAGGGATACTACTGACTTCCAGGAGGGTGTTCATGAGAAATCTTTTTCCTGGAGCCCTGGATTAAGGAGGTATGTTCTCTTACATTCTCCAGTTTTAAGTTTTCTTAAAGCATTGCCCTTAACCATTTCCCTAAGGCTCCCTCAGGACTGACCCACGGTTTTAGGAGGCTGACCAGGCATCACATTTATGAGGTTGCTTCCTATTCAGGCATCATGTCCTGGGGCAGTCAGTGGATGGCAGGTATTTGATCTCTCAGAAGGTTCTGAAAAGATCCAATAATAAATTAGTATGTAAATAAGTTCAAAGACTACTTTGTGCCAAAACATGAAAATTAACTATCTTTAAGTTTCCCAACCCTAATTCCCTCCTGCTTCATAACCTATCACAGTATATCAGAGGTTCTGTATTGAGATTAAACAAATCCCAACACAAGATGAGTCCCATAAGAAAATGCAAAAAGCATCAATAATAATATTCTAAATATGAGTAGAAATTCTTTTCTACTAGTCAACTTAAACAGATTAAATATCTTCAAAAGTTAAAATCCAGACATTAAAGTCTAAAGGAATTAAATAATCCTACCCACATGAGTTTGAATTAAAAACTTGAAGATAACTATCCTGTTGAATTTCTCATTCTATCAGCCTTGACAGAAGTTTCTTTCAGAAGTTGGAGCTGCAATTGTCAGTCTCTGAGTAGTAGTTTCTGTAGGGCCCCCCAAAGGAGCTAGGTTCAAGGCCAAGTCTTTGATATGCTCACCTTTTAGACTATGAGGGGTTACCACAAAATCATCACAGCATTGGCCTCACACCCATACTTACTTTGAAAATAAGCCAGTTCCAAAGCATTAAATCAGTTGTCACAGACAAAGCCATATTCCCTGAACTCAATACTGTGCTGCCAAAGACCATAGGAGGAATTCAATGGTACTGAAAAAAAAAATGCAGTTTGGCTTTCAGCTTCTGAGAGATGCTAGTGTTCTGGAATCCATATCCTATAATCTTCATTTGCGTTAAACTAACTCTCGGGGCTTAATTTTGGCATTATGCATTTCTGGAGGAAGGACATCATTGCATGATGCCTTAGCTAACATTTGCCCTTCTGACAAGATAGCTCTGGCATTAGCTGACTAAGGGCTTCCTAGGGACTTTAAGCTCTCATCCCTGGTTGCAGAAATCATCAGACCTGAGCCACACGGGATATGGTCTAGGAAAGTGGCCTCCTAGGTATACTTTTTCCTCTCTGTGGACTTAAGCAATCCAAAGTGAATTACAGAGTCACACAGATCCAAGGCTGGTGCCTCCCCAGTTCCCTCCTTGGACCTGAATGAAGAACGGAGTTTGGACAGCTGATACCACAAGGCCTTACTGTCCTGGCATTACTGGTTGAATTTCCAATTTAATGAGGGTGCTGTAGTTTGTTGGAACCCAGATGCCTTGAAAATAGTTGAAAAGCAGCACACATTATTCTTTCCAGGTATACCTAAAAGTCCTATGGCATTTCCTCAGAGGAGACCACAGCTGTGGCATCTTGAGGTTCCCTGCCCCTGCTGAAGGCTGTGGGTGTTGGAGGGGACATCCGTACCTGATGCCCACAATTTATGTCACATTGCACCCATTTTCATAAACGTCTTGCATTCTCTAGGGATGGGGAAGTGGGGAGGGGACTTCTGCCAATTAGGCTTTAAAGATCGTTGTAGGTAATGATTCCAAAAAATAGGCACTGACAGGCATGGTGGGGGAGCTGCTAAGGTATATTTTCTATATACTTCCTTTAGATACCACGGAGCTGCTTTCATGGCATTTGGCCACACCATGTGCTGCATTTGGGGAACAAACCTTTCTCTGGGATAACTGCTCTAATGGCTGGAGACTGGCTTGGTTTCAAAACAGGCAGTGCAAGTATTGTGATGATCTCGTGTGTGTCTTCTTATTAATGTTGAACCGCTAAAGATTCTCGGCATTGGGTCCATACAATTGAGTCCATTGAAGGAATCAATCATGATGACACACCAAGACTCATAAATTTCCCAATCACGTGTATATGTTACTTCCCAAATCCTACTCTTTATTTTTAAAGCTCTCTGACAGCACTCCCCACATGTTGGATTTCCAAAGGAATCTTTTATAGTCCTTTCCTTAGTTATGAACAACTAGAGAAATAAAGCAATGATAACTGGATAAGTAAAATAAAACCATAAAGCTGCAGATAAGGAGTAGCTTAAATTGAGAGCCTAGCGGCAAACTCCAGAATTAGACAATCTGAACTTGTGTAAATTGGCTTCCTGTTGTTGGAGAGAAGTAATTTTTCCTTACCTTTGGCTTCCATGAAGAGAGATTTTCCTCTAAGCAGCACAGCATTGCCTATATTTTCCCTACTTGGCTACCTAGAAGGGAGGGGAGGAGGTTGTATCCCAAGTGAAGATTAACTGTGCAGGATAGAGAACCACCACATATTCTCCCCAAATGTATCTATTGATCAGAGCACTCCACCTGTCCTGGGATGGAGTGAGCAAAAATGTTAAGGGAAGGTCTCCTCCTGGAACATAAGGGGAAAAGTGGAGAGGAATTATGTATAGACAAATGAGTTTGGAAGCTTTGAGAAATTTGCAAGAAGGAAAATAGCAGGATACCCACAAGGAGGAACAGGTCCCAAGAAAAACCATGAACTTGTTTGCCCATTTTCACACTCCACCCCTAAAGGGAATATAGGTTCAGGTTTCCAAGAGTGTTACCTTCTGCAAACACTCGTTTTTCTTCTCATCTCCGATCTACATTGCTCTTCAAGTACAAATGAAAAGATGACATGTAAGATTTCCAAAAGTGAGCATTGCTTATTCCTTTTTTATTTAAACGTAGCCATCCTTTCTGAAGCTACTGTTTCATCTTAGTTTTCATTTAATCACCGTCTAGGAAGTCAGCTGTTTCCTAAACAGTTGATTTCCTTCTTTTAGGAGACTGGTTCTAAATAATTGTCTAATTACCATCTTGATATGCAGGTTTCTGATGTAAAATTCCTTTGGTTTAAGGAGAGACTTTATCATACCCAGAGAACTATTAAATATTAAAACATTCACTGTAGTTTAACCTTTCTTAAGCAATGCTTCTTTGGTTTACCTAAGAAACTTGTAGAATTTTTGCTATGGTCTGATTTAATCTCAAAGAATCTTCCTTTGTGAAATAAGCATGCTTATGTTTTGCTCTGATTTAAGTGATAGCCTTAAATGCTGAGCACAGGACTACTATTAGTATCGTTAATGTAAATTTTTCTGAAGAAAGTTTTTTTTTTTTCTTTTTTAAAACACATTTTCACCTCATTGGAGCCTTTTATCTGATTGTTAGAAGTCTTAAGATTTGGGGGTCCATTTCTGGCCTCTGTGGAAAACTGAATCAGCCTTTCTAGAGCACTGGTTGTCTGCTCAGAGTGCTGTGTTTCAGCTAAAAAGATAAGTACCATGTGGGAGGGGAGCTTAATGTGGAATCAAGGATGGAGTTTAAAACTTTACAGGAACGTGGAGTGGAGCATGTAGCTGCTAATATAAGATGGAAGAAGTTGGATAGTCCAAGTCCTTAACAGGGTCTGGGAGAGCAGACAACTGCAGCATATTTGACAGAGTAAATTCAAAGTATGCACTTAAGGATGAAAGGAGTTGCACAGATTTAGGCAATGACTCAGGCACAAATCCAAGCCCTTTCATTAAGGGTGCTGTAGGGAGGAATGAAAGTATGTGAACTTTCAATATCATATGAAGAACTATTCAACACA